ACAGCAACACCAGCAGCAACAGTAGCCGTGACCAGCAGCGGCAGCGGCTGCAGCTGGAGAATGTAGCCAATTAGTAACTAGTAGTAACAACCACTACCATGCAGCAAGCAAAAAAAACAGGAGCTTCCGACCACCAGCATCGTGATGGCGGTAGTGAAAGCAGCAGAGATAACATCAGCAAAACCTACGGCCACAGCAGCAACAACGATTCTGCAACAAGCACAATCACACCACACACCAACAGCACCACCCCCCCCCCAGGCAGCAGCAACAGAAACACGTGCGCAACATCATGGTTTTCATAGTGGCAATGATGACAATGGCCTTTAAAGACAGCATCGATTACAGTGTCGTCAAATGGTGACACAACATTATTGCCAGCAGATCTCCAAGCCCCAAGAGGACATCCGACCTTCGCTTGCTTAAGGCTCTTCCACGGACGTGCGTGTTGACACACTTCAACAGGCAGCTTCGTCAAATAAGTCCGGGACTCGGCTTCCGGGCCTGCACTGCCTCCTTGATTGAAGCGACAGCATATTACGTCGTGAAGCTTCTTCAAGTTTCCAACTCCATTTGCTGTGAGATTTCGGTCGACAACCTCAAAGCACTTGGCTAACAACACCTCAGCCCACGCCTGAACCTGGAAGCTGCTGCCCCAGATGATCCACTCTCTTTTGGCTCCAGAAGCACCCAGGTCGCAAGGGTCCGAGTCTTTGGAGATCCTTTGGTGCGAGGCCCCTTCTCTTCCTTGTGAGTTCAGGTCAGGTTGGATAGTGGATACGCATACAACCGTATACATGCGGAGTGCATCGTTGGGAATAAACCGGAAGATCGTAAACAGCGTGCCGCCACACGTTCTCGCCCCGGCCAGGAGTGCTGCAATGTTCTGCATTCTTTACGATTGCCCGAGAGAACAAGGGAAGCAGCGCATGCCGGCCCAAACCTGCTTCCACTGCACAAAATGTGGTTACTGCACTCTTTTGCGCCTCATCGCAGTGAATGAGGGTTGAAAGCCACGGAAAATACCTCGCATGATCTCTGAACGTGATGTCTAAGAGAGATCGAAAAAACAAACAGAATCTGCCGTCTCGAATTTCACACCTTGCCGAAGCCGACAGGGTTGCTGTAAGACTAGTTGCTAGTGACTAGTGTCGGCACAATAGCATCACCTTGCAGACCCTGCGAAAAAAGAGCATCCCGAATTGGCCATCGTATACAATTCCAATGCTGCTATTCTGGAGGATAGAAGCACGGCGCCAGCCAAGTCTCCTCGTAGGAAGGCCAATATGACTGGCGAAAGAGTGCGTCATCATTCATCAGCACTCAGAACCTCTACTCGTACCGTGCTGAGAACTTACACGAGGTTTCTCCGCCAGCACGACGGCCTCGCCGAAGGAAGCACGAGACAACAAGACAGCTAAGTCATTCTCAGCTCTTCGCGTTATGGCAAGGGCACTCAGAAGTTGAGTGTCGCCGCGGGCTGTTGAGTTGTTCACGCCTGGTGGTCGGTTGCAGGGGCGAGGGGAGTGGGGGCGAGGGGCGGCGTTGTGCGGGGAAACTGCGCAAGAGGGGTCTTACAAGCATCTTGGTTTGCAGGTGTTCGGGTGGAATATCTGAATGCTGGCGTGTTCGTTCGTGCATAGGCAATAGCCCCGTCGGGTATGTTCGAAGCGATAGAATCCGTTGAAATCAAAGCTAAGATTCAAGCTTTCACCACCAAGCAACACAAGACAGTGTCAAACTAGTACTGTACTGGTATGATTGCAGACGGGATGCGCAGCATGGCACGTCAAACCAAGCAACAGAAGCATCGTGGCCCACTGCAGGGCTTCTTTCATGGTCGAATTTTGGGAGACTGGCGCGCGGGCTCCCGGACGTCCGTAACTTCATACCAACATCTCATCGAAGTGGACCTCGGAGATTAACCAATCAGGGTTGTTCGGGATCAGTTCGACCCGAACGAGAAAGCGGGAGGTTGTTTTGGATTTGTGTTCGGATCTAGTTGGGACTTAACAATGTTTGGGTGGCATGTGTTGGTCGCATAAGTGCCCGTGAGTGTCAAAAGACCCATCACCTACGGATGATTCAATCTGCAATATATTACCAGTCAAAACCACGAGCGCCCAGGCGCCAATGTGCGGCTGTTCCATCGCATGCGCTCCCTGGTGCGCGCGGAGGGAGGAGGCCACGGCTGAGGCTTTGAGTTGCTTTTTCCGGAAGCATGTCTTTTGCAGGCTTACCGCCTCCCTCTTTGGTTCTGGCTCTCTCTCTCTCTCTCTCCCTCTCTCTCTCTCTCTCTCTCTCTCTCTCTATATATATATCTCTGTCTGTCTCTCACACGTGTATATAACTTACCATACATATCATGAGTATAGATAGATAAATGAGCAGGACGCGCAAACTTGTTACACCCTCGCAAGGACTGTCGCATCCAGGTGCAGCAGCCGAAAAATCAGCTTTTCAAAGTCTCGGTGCAGGATGAGCTGTGCTGCCAATTGCTGGACGCACCCTGGCAGGCTTGACACATGCTGTTCACATGAATTTGCATCTGCACTGACACGTTGAAGTGTGGGATACTCGTACTGCTGTGAGGAGGTTGGGTTAGTCTCCCGGCTCGTGAACTACTACTAGTCAGTGTGTGGTCAGTACTTTCCCACTCACTTTGTAGCTTTTCGTTCTTGTCTGCAGTCTGCATGTTCGCGTGCCTGCCACTGCTTTGTCACTGCAGGCGCGTCGGTCCAATGGGTCGAAGTACGGTTTTCACATCTGTCAGGGAGCATTGCACTGCTGGTGCTTTGGTCATGTTCGTTCAAATTGTGGTATTGCTTGCCATCTGGCTGCTTCATGTTCTTGGCCTTACAACCCAACGCTTGGTAGGGCATACCACATTGCCGAGCATCATGGCCGTAGTGTTTTGTAACACCACAGGTGCTTATTGCCCTTGAACGACATCATGATTTTCCCGGTGCTGCGAATGCGAGGCAGCCGAAAAGTTTTGATAATACCTTATGAACTCTTCATCTGCACTTTGTGAACAATGAAAAGGAAATGGCTTCGAAACAGTGCAACCCTTGAACCGTATTGCGGTGCCTTTGCCGAACACACCAATACATGTTACATGCATATTGCCTGGTGCGGAGAATTTGGATGTTACAACTTGGGATGCATCAGCATGCAGAAGTCCAGCAACGACTGGGCATTCAGTATGGCAGCCAGTGGGTCACAGCATCTCATGACGCTTGACTTTCCACGTGTCGAAGCTCGTGAAGTCAAACCTCACACCATTGCAGTACTGAGGTGCCGGGCTGCCCCTTTCTGTTGGTTTCATATTTCCAGCGTGAAGTGCATATGACGAAATAAGACTGTCAGACCATTGAGCTGTCGTATATCCAGAGAGATGATAAGATGATACTTAACAAACCGCGCGGAAAGCCATGATCTTCCTGTAACTTAGAAGCAAGCAAGCGAATGAAACAATGATAGAGGCACTATTCGGCATCATACGCCATGTCAAGATTAGGGGGTGTGTCATCTAATCTAGTTAACCTTACACACCGCGACATGCAAGACACAGCATTCCTACAGCGCCAGGACTGAGCAATGCGATGCAGACCTGTCGTGAGGTGGCACAAAGTTGATGGATGTTTAATGTAGCGGGTCTAGAGTCCCCTTCGAAGTCACCGCGGTGTCCGTCCCATGTTTGCATGCGTGTGGCCATCGTGTAGCCTCTCCGAACAGCATGTCGGTCTTCCAAGTTGGCCACATCTCCCAAGTTCATTGTTTCACAGGGATCCAAGGTTAATGGGTTTCAGTCGCAACGCGGGGGGCTGTGTTCGTTGCTGTTGCTCTAGATTCTTGGCTTTTGGCACGCCTGGCAGTCATGGGTCTCATGTTCAGAAGTCGTTTTGGTCAGCATTTCCACCATGTCTACAATCTTTTGATACCAGGGGCAAGCACGGCATGGGTATATCCTGGAATGTGCGGATGCCGAGGTGTGCTCCAGAGCGGTCTGTTTAGGTGGTGGATTCGTCAGCCGAGAGTCGGCTCTCCTCTTGTCTTTGAGCTGCCTGGATTTTAGGTGCCGTTTGAAGTGGGCAGCACGATCGTTTGCGGATGACCGTGAGAGCTCGAGGCTGGGTGGCCGACGTCAAGAGTCGCGTAGTCTAATTTGCGGCAGATGGTAGGATTAACAATCGATCGATTTTGCAGTGCACCGCACAACCAGGCACGGAGCTCTGTAATATACAAGAAAATATAGACTTGAGGCCGCGACAGCTGGCGTCACCCGGTCACATCGACGCCCGGTCACATACTTCCGACTACGGTGGAGAACGCCGAAAGAGCATTGTCCGGCAAGACGCTGCATGCTCCTTTTTCGCCTCTTGGGAATATTTCTGCTTCCTTGCTTGGCCGCAAGTTTCTTGCCGCATCGTCGAGCTGGCACCCTCGTTGCACGTGTACTGGCTTGCGGAGAAGGATGTTCACAAGTTTGCTTGGAGAGACAAGGACGTACTAGTGTTAGGTCAATGCGGGCTTGCTCGAAACCAAGTTTAGTGTATGCGGCTGTATAGTCCTGTCATGACTCTCAGCTGCTTTCCGGACATTGCTGGATTGCTCCTTGCATTTGGCGAGTTGCAATTCGAAGACGGATCTCCCGGAGTCAGCGCCAAATGCTTGAAGGAAAAAGTCGAGCGGAGCTCCCGGATCCTAGCCCAATGCAGAAGCTCTGAACTCATGGGAAAAAAGGCTAGCGGCTACCTAAGTTCATCGTTCAGACATAACGATGTACCGAGCTCATCAAAGGCCGCGCGCGGAAACTAAGCAGCAATGCTTGCGTTCTTGTAAGTTTCAGTACCAGGCTCAATGGACACGTGTTTTTGGGATGTTGAGGGTTTCACTTCGGGCCTTGCATCTCGCACGGAACTGATTACTGAGAACGGCCAGTGCTTTCCGAAACCCGTGTCGGGCCCTGGGCTCACACCCCATGCTTGCTGTGGTACGAGATGCTGGACGCAAGGATCTGTTCAACGGCGACAATCCTCCTGAAGCGGAGCGTTCGTGTGACCTCCAAACCTTTCCGTTTATAGGGCTCCAGAAAGCCTGCTGGACCACTTCCTTTCAGAATTGATGCGCCGGCGAGAGCGTATATCCTTCTGAGCATGGTTAGGCAGTTCTAATCTAACTGTCACGGGCTTATGGCTTGCAGCAGTATCTCGTAAGCAGAGCCGTAAAAAGGAGTGACTTAGGAGTGTCAACAACAGGAAGACTCATCTTTGACAAATCTAGATAAACACTTGCCTTTGTAGAAGCGGTTTAGTAAGGCCGGCCTCAGGCCTATCCAGCCGGATGACCGGGCTTCATCCAAAAGCCTTTGGGCCTTGAAGCTTTTAAGGTCCCCTTTTCCAGGCCAGCCCGAGCCCAGGTGGGATCGCAAAAGCTTTACCAGCAGCAGTTGTTGTAGTGGTCAGTAGTAGTAGTAGTAG